GCTATTCCTGTGAATCCCCTAGTTACAGGGAGCTCCCCTGGGAGTAGGACACTTTTTTGGGGGGAGGGGGCAACTGACAGTCCGTTGCTTAGATTAAAAGTTCTCAAACTTTTGGTCTTAGGACCCCTTTAAACTCTTAAAATTATTGCAGACCTCTCCCCTCCTCCAGAGTTGTTGTTTATATAGGTTATATCTAATGATATTTACTGTATTGGAAATTTAAATCTTACTATTATTAAGAAAATAGTTTTGACTCTTGGAAACTCCCTTTCAAAGGTCTCTGGGACCTGTAGGGCACATTTTGAGGACTAGTGGCCTAGAACACTGAGAGGTTAAAGGACTTGTCCAGGGTACCACAGCTAGGCTGTGTCCAGGCAGTACTCTTAGCTTCTAGGCCAGCTATCTATCCACAAACCCAGGCTGTCTCTCTACAAATGTGAGATAGTTGAAATGATAACTGACATTTAGAGCATGTTAAAGTTTAAAGTATGGCACTCAATATACATTGATTAGCTCATTCGATCCTTTCAGGCACCACTGGAGGTTTTATCTTTTATTTTATACACTACAGGTATTGTCAAGCTCGTTTTATTATTTATATTTATTATTTAGAGTTTAAGTGGCTTGCCTAGAAGAGTTGGCCTGGGAACTGGGAGACCGAAATTTTATGTTGGTTCAGCTACTTATCCTAGCTGTGTGATCTTGGACACTATGATGAACCTCTTTGGCAGTTACTTCCTTCATCCATTAAATAGGTATAATGGCATATAAGTGACAAAGAGTTCTGAAAGTGCTGTAAGTGAGCTGAGGGTATTTAGTTTGCTTAAAGAAATGTATGTCATGCAATTCATGTATTTGAAGGGCTGATACCTAGATTTAAACTTGTCTTTGGCCCCAGAGGGAAGAATATGGAGCAACGAATGAAAGTCAGAGAAGGCTTGACAAAAAGCAAGAACCTCCTGACAGCTTGCACTGCCCAGCAATCCCCCTACAGTGGACAGGGCTGCCTCTGGAGACAGTGACTTCTGTGGCCATAGGGCCAGTCACCAATAGGTGATCACTTGTTTCAGTTTGGGGGATCAGGTGACCTGGGAGGTGCCTTGCAGCTCCAAAGGTGTATGATTCTAAGAAAAAGAAATGAGTAATAATAATTGCTTACATTTATATATGAATTAAAGATTACAAAGTACTTTCTTTACAACCCCTACTTTAGGAAATAGAATAAAATCAGAATACCAAGAAACAGACTATTTGACTCTCAGTTCCTTGTTTGATCTAAATTGTCTATGTCCTGGCATAATGCTCTGCCCACACTTTATTGAATAAATGCATGATAAATGTTAGTTGAATGACTGTGTAGACCAGACTTTGGAGCAATGAATAAATATAGTAGGAATTAGGAGGACTCTGAGGAGGCTGATGCATAGGATGTGCATCACAGAGAATGCCCAGCCTTGGTGAGAGGGAAGGTCAGTCCAGCTTCTTGTGGTTTGGTCCCAGGTCCCTGTGGGGGACCATGTGTAGGTGACTGGGGCAGAGCTGAGGAGAATCCATTCCACAGCTTGAGTTGCCTTCCCCAAGGCAGTGCAAGCTCTATCTCTTTTGGGACCTTGTCTCTTTACCTCCTCTGTCCTATGTGATTCTTTTCTAAGTCTCTGAAAAGACCCAGGTCTCTTTTGGTTAAGTGTCTCTGTCCCCATCTCTGCTCTCAGAAACAGGGGGTGTAGTGGCACCCATTGTTTGGGGCCAGATCATATCTTCTCATTTAGACTTCTGAAGACACAATGTGTAGACCCAGAGAGAGACCTAGCAGAAGCCAATCCCCTAGGGGAAGGAGGATCACCTGGCCTCACCCTGACTTCCTTGAATGGGCTATTTTTCAAGATCCTGGTCCAGCCTCCTGCAAAAAGGCTGGAGTAAAAGGGTAGTGGAGTGGGAAAGTAAGTGCTATTTTCTTGGAAGTGAGGAAATTTGGTAGAGGAAAGGACTGGGCATGGAACTGTTGGCTTAGTGATAGGGGGATCAAGAAAAAAAAAGAGGAGAGAAGCAGAAGAGATAGATACGAGGAAAACAGAGAGGGAGAAAGAGGAAGAAGGAAACAGTGGGAAAGAGGAAGAATATGAGAGGGAGTGAAGAGGAGGAAGAGGAATATATCTATATCTTTCTATATCTCTCTATAATGGCAGTATACCTAGGCTAGAGGTTTTTCACTTCTTTTGTGTGCCACTGATGCCTTGGAAAGTTTGGTGAATCCTGTGGATTTCTTCTTAGAAGAAAGTTTATAAATGCCTTAAAATATATAGGACTACATGGGAAACCAATTTCGAAATACAATTCTCTCTCTCTCTCTCTCTCTCTCTCTCTCTCTCTCTCTCTCTCTCTCTCTCTCTCTCTCTCACACACACACACACACACACACACACACACACACACACACACACACACCCCGGTTCCCAGAACCAGGTTAAGAACCCCTTGGGTAGAGAAACTGCGGTGTGGAATTCGAGCTGACGCTCTCCGCGGGCGGGCTGGCCCGAGGCTGGGAAGCCCCTTCTTTTCTCCTGCAGGGCCCCGGGCTTTTCCTTCCTTCCCTTTCTCCCTTCCCGGCCCCTGCCCGCAGAAGGGGCTGGAGCGGAGCTGCCGCGCGGGGGCATTTCAGCGCAGTGGAGTGGAAAATAGACTTTAAACCCTCATTGTGGCTGAGCGGAGGGCACCGCGGGCTCCCGGGGGCGAACACAGCTCCCTGGAGTCGGGTCGGGGACACACGCAAGAGCTGGCCTGGACTCTTAAGGGTAGCAGGGGGAAGGTCTCTGGAAAGGGTGGCGCTGCCCAGGAGAAGACGGGCTGGAGGCTGGGAGGTAACGCGCCGCTGGGGCCCTGGCGTCCCCACTCTCGTAACCCCCACGGAGCCCTTCTCCCTTCACCCCCTCCACTACCCTGTCACTACACGTCTGCTCCTTCCCCCCGCCCCTGCTTCCTACTACCCTTAGTGGGGACAGGTACCGCTAGGGCCCTGAATGAGGCCCCTCGACGGGCTTTCCCGTGGGCTCAGCGAAGGCTTAGGGCTAAAAGTTTCCGAAATTATTACTATTTTTATGAAGAAAAACAAAAGAAAAAGCCAGAAACTAATCAATTGAATCAAAGGCATGAAAATAAAGCGAAAATGCAGACAGCAGCCCAGCCAGCGACCCCAAGACTGCGCTGAGTCTGGGTGTAAGATTGTGCCTATATCTGTGACTTGAGTTGGTGTTCCTGTGTATGAAGGAGTGTGTATGTATCTCTGTGATGCGTGAATGAATATGGCTGTGTGGCTGTGGTCGTATATGTTTGTGCGTGACCACGTGGGTGTATATGTGTGATTCGTGTGTGGCTCGGTATGTGTATTTGTGTGATCATATTGTGCTTGTGTGAAACAATTTTTGTTTTTGATTGTAGATGTTTGCCTGTGTGACCCTATGATTCTTGTATGTGACCATATTTGTGTGTTTTCGTGGTGTGTGTGTGTATATATATTCACGTTTTAAAACATGTTTGGGTTTTTTTTTGGGGGGGGTGAAGTATGAGTGGGCAAGCCCTGAGACGTCTGCCAAATACCCACACATTTTCTTGGCGACCTTTGTCACCTGAGCGACAAGTCTGTATAGCGCCAGGGAGCGGACTGGTACCTCTAAGGGACTCCTTCGGTTGGAATACGTCAGCAGTCTCCTTAGGGGCCTCAGTGCTTTCGGAAGTCACAGTCCAGGGCTTGTGAAAGCCACCAGACTCTGCACTCAAAGTCGGAAGCGGTGGTGTGTGTGTGTCTGTGTGTGTCTGTGTCTGTGTCTGTTTGCGTGCTCCTGGGTGCTGAACTGGGTAGCTGGCGGGAGAGGGAGTCGCACGACAGCCAGCCAAAAGACTCACCAGCCGTGCTCTGCCCCAAGCCGGATCAAAGGCTTTGCCCAAGGGGTGCGAATAATCTCGCCTAGCCCAGAGGGGAGACTGAGTTTGGGATTTTCCCTCTCTCTTCGCCTCTTCAAATCTCTCACAAATAGAAGGGCGAGTCCCCTCTCCTGGGCGCACGGAGCTTTCCTTCACCATTGGGTAGCCCAAAGATGCGAACAAAACGCTACTCGGCTTCCAGTCTCCCGAGGCCTCCCTTCCCTCTGCTCCTAGGAACAAGACCCCGGATCTCTTGTAGCCTCCTCACCCTAAACTTGACTCCTGGCCTTGGGCCACATCCAAATGGAGGAATGGGAGTCGGAGCGGGGCGCATAGTGCCTGACTGTGTATCTGAGGGATGAATTTGGAGGCGTCAGGAGAGCGGGAGAGGGAGGGTGTCCTTCCACTTCTCCCACCTCCATCCACTTTCTGCGCCACGTCTTCCTGAAACCCTCAACGCCACGAACCACCTATCCCCAGTCCCTGCTCCCAAGAACCTTGTACCGGAACCAGAGACGGGCGCTCACGAAGCCGGGTGGGGTGGGGGAGGGATTGCAGGGCGGGAGTAACAGGTTGAGGGGAGATACTGCGGCGACCTTCGCCTTGAATTGGGAAGTTTGGTTCCCCAAGGGTCCTTGCTTTAGACAAAGTCTGGGTTGGCAGGGTAGGAGGGGAATGGGGGGACAGCAGAAAGTCTGGGGTCCGACTCTTCTCCACTCTTCGGGCCAAGGTTTCCATTGGCAGCCTCGGGGTCGGCGGAGCGACCGAGAGGTGGAGGAAGGGCTGGGTGAGGAGTGGAAGGGCGACCCCTGAGAAGGTGGTAGAGGAGGAAGAGGACGATGAGGAGCTGGAGGAGTAGATGTGGAGGAATAGACCTTGAAGAAGGAGAGGAACTGGGTGGAAGGAATTTGGGGGGGGGGCGGGAACGGCGGAAGGGTAGCGATCCCGAATCGCCTTTCAGTACTCCAGTCCTCTTTTTGCCTCGGATCACAGGTTCCCACCCATCCTCCCTCCCTCTTCCCCAGTCCCTCCCTCTCCTTTCCCCTCCCCTCCCCCAGCCCCTAGCCCTCCCCCCCTCCCACCTGGGGGCAGGTGAGCAGCAGCCAATCGGCGGGCGCTGTCCAGGTACCGGCTCCTTCGCTCCTCCGGCTCCTGCACGCCGCAGTTTGGGCCGGGCCGGGCCGGGGGGGGGCGGAGGTGGAGGCAGGGGCGGGGGTTCTCCTTCGGGAGCGGCTGCCGGTGGGACTCAGGGGCTTTGGAGACTGCAGCGGCGGGGGAGGGGGCTCCCGGAGCATCCCTTTGGTTCCGAGAACTAGTCATACTCCAGATCTCGCCGCTCCAAGGAGGAATCCTAATCGGTGCGCCCCAGAGCCAGCCACAGCCCCGACCCTCGGGCCTGGGGCTGCGCGGGGCTGCACTGAACCCAGGCACCAACTCTGCGCCCGCATCCCGCCGGGGCCCTTTTCTTACCGGGGGGGGGGTTTGGGGGGCGGGGGTGGGTGGGGATGTGTGTGTGAGAGAGCGAGTGTGTGAGTGAGCGAGCGAGCCAGCGTGTGAGTGTGTGCATGTGCGTGTGTGCATGTGCGTGTGTTTTCGCACACCCCGCACGGCGGCGGCGGCGGCGGCGGCAGCAGGGACGCGGTCCGCTCCACCCCCCACCGAGCCAAAGAAGCCCCCTCTCTCGCTCGGGCCCCGACCATGTTTCAGCCCGCGACCAAGCGCGGCTTCACCATCGAGTCCTTGGTGGCCAAAGACAGCGGCGGCCCGGGCGGCCCGGGCGGCCCCGGCCCCGGCCCAGGAGGCGGCGCCCACCACTTGGCGGCCCCGGCGGCGGCGGCCGGTGAGGAGCCCCTGCGGCCCACAGCGCTCAACTACCCCACGCCAGCGGCCGCCGAGGCGTTCGTGAGCGGCTTCCCGGCCGCCGCTGCCGCCGCCGCCGCCGCCGCCGCCGCTGCCGCAGCCGGCCGCTCCCTCTACGGCGGGCCTGAGCTCGTCTTCCCCGAAGCCATGAACCACCCGTCCCTGACCGTGCACCCGGCCCCCCAGCTCGGAGCCTCCCATCTCCAGCACCCGCACTCTTTCTTCGGAGCCCAGCATCGGGACCCGCTCAACTTCTACCCCTGGGTCTTGCGCAACCGTTTCTTCGGACACCGCTTCCAGGGTGAGTCGTCTGCCCCTGCCCCTGCTTCCCGCCGGGGCTGCCCGGACCCAGCCTCGACCCACCTTTCCCCCCCTCTCCCGCCGCCGCCCGCGGCCCGAACCCAACTCGTCGGCTTTCGGTCAGGGAGCTGACACCTTTTCCTTTCTGGAACTCAAGCGCGCTCGCCGAAGCCCCGGGGAGGTGGGAAACAGGAAGCCTGCGGAGGAGGCGGCTAGGGGGAAGGGGAGGAGGCGAGGGTGCTGGGAACCTTTTACCTCTTTGCCAGAAGTTCTGGAAGAGGGACGAAGGGGGAAGGGAAAGTCAGGCACCCAGCCGGAGAAACTAGAGAGACCCGTCGAATTAGGACCTCAACTGGCACCCAGTGTCGGCGCTCAGCCCACTAGATCTGACAGGATCTCGCCACCCTTTTGGGGAGTGCGGTGCTCTTAGAATGGGGATTCGAGCCGAGTTCCCAGGTTCTCCAGGAGACATTCTGCATCTAGTCCCGGGAACGGTTCATTTTCGTCCCAGGAACGTTCTAAGCCTTGTCCTGGGAACGTTCCATTACCCACTCCTGCCCCTCACGCAGAAAGAGGATCTTCGGGATCCTCTCTGTCCAGGTCTCTCCCCTTCCTTCGGCTGGCCCCGAGGCCGGTTAGTTTTGTTGGTTTGTAAAAGGCACAACAACCCCATTAGCTGCCGAACCCGCTGGCGCTGGGGTAGGAGCCTTGCGGAGGAAAGTCCAGCAGTCGCCAGGGCTGGTTGAGCTAAGGAGGGCGGCCTCGGCGGTTCTTGGCGTGCTGATTGAGAGGTCTCAGAGGCTTGGCGTCTAGGTTCGGACTTCTCCATATCATTGGCTAGGCGTCTGCAGGGTGCCCTGGGCAAAGTGTATCGTGCCCCATTCCCTGCCTCTGGCCAACGCCCGGTAGGACCACGGCCTCTGCAGGCTTCCCGACGACCCGGCAGTAGAGGGGAAGGCGGCCCGGGAGAGTCTGAGCTGGGGTTGCAAAGGACGGCGGAAGAATTGAGTCAATTTACCTAATAATCAATTCTCTCCCCGCACCACTAAGCCCAAAACAGAGCTTTGCTTCAACTATTCGGACATCCTAAATTAAAGAAGATCTTAGGTCCGTTTTGTTGTAGTTTTTCAAGGGGACGCTGCAATTACCTGGGTAATTTGTCTTAGCAGCCTACCTGCTTCACTTTCGTAGAGATCAGGTTGGCTCAGATCCCTCCCGCTGCCCTGAACCAAGGGGGAGAAGAACTCTGCAATAATTTAGGATCGGTCTGGTAAACAAGCAAACGCCTTGAACCTGGGATACTGGGGAAGAGCAGCGGGGAAAGACACGATTTAACAGGGTCTGCACCCTTGCTCAGTCCTGCGGCCAAGAATACACTAGCAAAGTTAAGTAGAGGCCTGGGGAAACTCCTAATAATACAGGCAAAATAATCCAGAGAGAGAGAGAGAGAGAGAGAGAGAGAGAGAGAGAGAGAGTGCAGGTTGCACAGATATTTCAGGTGAAGACAGCTTTTCTTTTCCCCCTTTCATTTTAATTTAATTTAATTTTATCGTGCTTTGAATCATAGGGTTGTTCGCCTTCGTTTTCTCCACCCCCCTCCCTATAAGCCAGGACCACAACCCAACATCTCCTCGTCCAAGAGGAAAAGTCAGAGCAGAGAGAAGAGCAGAGGGGTCTAGCTCGTCTGCTGCTGTCTGTTTTTCTCCACCTGAGACGTGTATGTGCCTGAATTATCCGAATAATTGCCTCTAATCCTTGGGCAAAGGGTCATGTCAGTTCAATCTTTTTCTTATCGATAAAATCGTATTTTGCCCCATTTCACCTACTCTCTGCGTGGGTTCTTTTGCCTCTCTGACGGTACTGGCCCGGGGGTGGGGGAACCAGACAGACTGGCAGGTACAGACAAACTGACTAACAGTAGAAGAGAAGCAGGCCAGTTTGGCCGTTCTTATTCTCAGTAAGTCGGGCCTCTATCCACCCATGGGAACCCAGGGGCAGGAGAGGACGTGAGGCTGAGGCAGATCGAATAGGAGAAGAGGACGAGCTGGAGAACAGAGGGGCCGGCTGAGGAGCCCCCCGGAAGAGGCCAAAAGCCCAGTCCTCTTGCTTCGGAGATGGTCGCCTTGCGGAGAGAGATATATGCTGCGGCGGTCGCCTCCCCTCGGTATCGAACCGGGCACACAAACTTGAGGGCAACTTTCCTTCCCTCTCTGCCCGCAGCGCGTGGCCAAGGCCTCAGAAACTAAGACAACCCTTTCCCTTCTGCGAGCTTGGAGGGACTCAGGCCCCTGAATCCTTAGCTGCCGAGCCGAGAGCTCCCCCGGGATTTCCCCCGCTTCGTTCTATTTCCTCTCAGCCGTTCCCGGTGCTGCGGCATCGCCGGGATGCAAAGGAACCTTGCCGGGAAAACTCGAGGCTTTGAAAAGGCCCAGGAGTTCCTCTGCCCCCTGAGAAAAGGAAGGGCCTGAGAGACCCGGGGCGGAAGAAATAAATCCTCGTCTAATCAAGCGCAGATTTCCCTTTGCCCGACAAAATGAGTCCGGGCTGAGGGTACGTTTCCAAGAGCCAGTAGTAATGTAGGTACGCTCCCCACCTCTGAGAAAGACCCCTCCGGATCTCGATCCTCCCTCGAACCCAGAAAGGACTACAGAAGTCGGCTACATTTCCGAACCCTGAGACACTTGCGATTCCCTGGGCGGTTCGGAACGCCGAGACATTTCCGAACCTGGACCACGCCCGAGATTCCATCCCTCCTAATTCCGAGGAACTCCGGAAGGAAATCCGTGGGATTTCTGTCCGTGGGAGCTGCGGGCACGGATGGGGCTTGTGCCCGATCGAGAGGAAGCCTGGCCGGGTCAGTTTGCTCGAAGAAAGAGCCCTCTGCGTCTCAGCTCCAGATCTGCTCCGGCATTTCGATTCAGGGGGGAAACAGACGAACGAATGAAGAGTGTTTGTACATTTCCTGTTTATTTCGCTATTGCAGCCGGGATCCCGGCTCTCTCCCTAAAGTCCCTTGCTTTAGGAGACGGTGTTATCAAAACAAGTTGAGGGGAAAAGACCAGAGCTCTAGGACCCTGTACTCCCACCCTTAGACCCGGGTAATAGAGATCGGGAGCCGCCCGCAAGTCCTCCCCCGGCTCCGGGACAGGAACAGCAACGAATTCTGGGCACCAAAAATACTGGGGAAATGTGAGCTCTAAATTAGCAGGCGCCGGGGGCCCGTGTTTGGGCTGAACCTGAGCTTTGGGTCTGGGCGCTGCCTACCTCCGTGGCCTCTGGCTGGCTGAGCGTGCGATCGACAAGGGAACTGCCAGGCTGGGGAAGGGCTGGGGGCTGGCGAGTGTGTGTGTGTGTGTGTGTGTGTGTGTGTGTGTGTGTGTGTGTGTGTGTGTGTGTGTGTGTTTGCCCCGGGAATGTATTATATTTCCCAAAGGAGGAGAAGCCCACGGAGAGGGGCGCAGGGCATACAGAGCTCATTAGCCAGCTCCCCATGCAAATCCCCTGCGGCCCTTCCCCTCCCTCCAGTCCCCCGCCCCAGCTCCGCGGCCCGCGGGAGCCAGGGGTGCATCAAAGGGCGCCTTTGTTCCGGCAGGAGCAGGGGGATTAGGTTATCTCTGCGCTGCTGCGGCCGAGGCCAATGCTCTGGGTTCGCTCGGGGCTCTGCAGGCCTGGGAGACCCCAAAGCCGAAGCTGCCCGGGATCTTGAGCCCCAGTGGGTATGGAGTGGTGTGTGAGCCTGGGGAGGGTGGGGGCGGGGGAACTCTTCACCTTCCCAGGCCCACTTTCTTCCAAAGTCCTGGACTCTGCTCCCCAGGCCTTGGGCGCAGGAAGGAACACGGAGAGCCCTTCCCAGGGCCTTGGGGAGGCCAGGCCTCTCTTTGCCCCTGAGAGTGCTGGGGAGTGGGGTGGGGAATGGATGAATCAGCTCCCTTTCTGCTTTCCCTTCATCTTGCCCCACAAGTGCAGGAGGGGAGGCCTGGGAGCCCCCAGAATTTCCTTTCCACCCGACCTTCCTTCCCCTTGCCTTAGTAGACGCTGAGTCACTTTTCCCTAAAGTGGGCAGAGAGCCTGGCCAGGCTGCAGGCGCTGGGCCTGCCCAAGGATTGGGCCTCAGCCTGGACCCATGGAGTTCAGTCTGCCTCTTCCTCCTTCCCCAATTTCTCCTTTTCAATAATGTTCATAAAGACTGTCTCTTGCCTGGGAAACCACAGGACACACACGGACACTTACCCAAACAATCCATCCATCATCAAACATTTATTAAGCACCTACTGTGTGCAGGGCCCTTTGCTGTGCAGACCTTTCACTCACATGTACATAAACATACACATTCACAGACTCACATACATGTACATGCAAACAAATGTATTTGGCCTCAGCCCTACATGAATATAAAGATTAGCAGAAACTCATGTGGTCATACACATATACAGACCCATATACAAACAAATACACATAGATTTACATACATACTAAAAATGAAATAAACACACATTTATTCATCTACAAACATGTCAATTCTCCCAGACTCACCTACGGT